TCATAGCCCTTGGCGCTGCTTACTCACTTGTTTGGGCTAAAGTCAATGTCCTGTTAACTGGCTCCAGAGTTTACGGTACTTACTTGTACTTGATTCGACTAGCTCTTGTTGTTGGATGAATCAGATTCACGGATATCGGCGGTCGGAAGCGAGCTTCTCGCAAATGTCAACCCAGTGCTTGTTTCAGTGTCGCAAGCGGTTACGAGGCCTATGCGTTCGACGTCTAACTTGACAGTGGTGAACCACGTCTTAGTTGATTGCCATGTCGGTATCTCCAGTTTGAACTACGAGAGGGGGATTCACGACCCATTCTACAGAGTTCCGTAAGTAGCTTGTGCAGGACATGTCCAAACCATTACAATCGGCGATACTGGATGTATGACGCTAGCTTTGGTACTTGGAAACACCTGTAATATAGCTCAACCTTGGAAAGTCAATCCTGCCAGGAGGCTCTTAAGATGCGTCGAAAGCTCTGAGCGATGGAATGTCTGTCTTTCTGACTGGTGTGCTTATTGCTCTGTATATCAACGGCTTAGTACGTAAGCTGATGTTTGGGGGAGACCAGAATATTCTATATAGCAGCCTAAATGCATTTTGAGCCTGCACCATTCGGTTCCTGATTTATTTTTTTGACCTGTCCCTTGGCCACTATATTCGAGCCCACATAACGGAAGCAGCTAACTATTTCGATGAAGCGACCACTGATAAACAGTGGTTGTATAGTGCCAGGAAAGGCAGGCAGGAAGTTCGTCTTGCTTATATTAATCGTGAGACCAACAGTTGCAACGTGGCTGGTGGTTCGGTCCAGCGTTGGCTGTAGTGACTGAGGGCTATAACCAAGTAGGACAATGTCATCGGCATACACTCTAGGTCGGGTACTCTGCATTCAGGGCTCATTTCACATCCACTATCGGGTAGAATTGATTGATGCATCACCCAGTCGATCAAGAAGTTGAAAAGAACTAGGGAGAAAGGGACATATTTGTCGAACTCCAGAAGTCAGGGGGAAAGAATGGCTCTCCATCAAGGGTTCTTACTCCGGCTCATGTTGTGCAATAGTAGGCTTTGATCAGACTGAGAAGCTTTACGGTCACGAATGAATGAAAACTTTCGCGTTCCAGGTATTTGCGTGGATAAAGAGGAACACTTGTCTAGCACCGAATCAATTTGTTTATGTTCCCGAACTTTCGGACACTTACAAGAGTCCATCTTCAGAGATAGGAAACAGCAACCAAAAGGAAGGCAATTATAGTAGTTATAGGCCAATCAACTGTCAGAGGTCATCAGGTCGTCAAGGGGTGGGAAACAGCAACCAAAAAGGGTGGGAGGGGAGACAGTTGTAGTGGTATACGCCAATTAACTGTCAGTGGAGTCGGGAGTTGTTTGAGATCATAAACAGGAATTAATATAGCTCTTTGTCACCACGGTAGAGGGTCCTGGTAATTCTGCCCCCTTTTCCGGTCGGTTCGTCGTGAGGTCCTCTTCGCTTGCAATTCTTACGTTTGGTTTGACATTTTTCTGTCCTTTACTCAAATAATCTCGCAAGACCTTGTAGGCCGCGGGGAGGTCTAGATATCTGTTGACGAAGTTGGCATCTGAGTAACATACCTCAAGCATCAGTCTTTCGGCTTTTGAGGTTCCTCGGTCTACGATGATCGCTCCTCGAATATTAAAGTCGTGGTCAGTCTCTCCGATGTGTGCTGCAAGGTGCGAGTTTGGGTCTAGTATCCAAGCCGCTAGTTTGTGTTCGTGTAGACGGTTTTGTCTCTCCAACGTAATTGCAGTCTCCGTCGTTGCAACCTATCTTGTAGACAACTGCAGAGGTTATGAAGATTCGTGTGTGTATATGGCACACAGTCGAAGTCCCCAGTCACGACTTCTGTTTTATTTTAGGTTGGTGTAACAGCTGCCTGCACCGTTCGCAAACCCACCCTCTGTTTGTGTACCAGTGGTGTAGCGGTGGAACAGTGGCGATCCCAATTCAAACTTTGGTCCACAGCCGAGGATAGTCAAATTCTGCGCTTCACCAGTGATGCCAAGGACCGACCCTCTGCCAGTAC